ACCGTAGCCGCTGTCAACTCAACACGAACTCAAACTCATGAAACTATAACAATAAAGACCGGAAATTAAAGTGTGAAAACCGGCAGGAAGTTGACTTGATTACAAGAGTGAGAGTGACACAGACAGTGTGTGTGCTACATATATATATATATATATATTTATATACATTTAAATGTATATACATATATAAATAAGAGTATGTAGGTAGGTAGCATAACTGATAGATAGAAAACTTTACAATGCATTTCATTTGTTCAACTGTCAACGGTTAGCCTGAAGCTAACAGTAGCATACTCCGGAGATAGGACACAGCCACAGGCCACAGAAGGCGGCGTCTGTGATTGAATGTTAAACATTTAATTTAAACTTGCAGCACACACATACACATTCCCTTTCCACACTCAAAGCTGAGATTCGACATAATTTATGCACGCACATCAATTCAGATGCATCTAATTTGGTAAACAGGCAGCTACTCATCGTCACACCTGCCTGCCACACCACCAGACAAGCTAGCGATCCGTGCTCTCGACTCCTTGCTGCCATGTTGCAATGACTTAAAATAGTTTTCATTTGTTTGCGTTGTACTTAGTTGGTTGCTGCAACATGTGGCATTGGCATTGTCACTAAGTAGCCTGTCTGCATCAGCATCTGCCGCTGCCTGCGCATCGGGGAGTTCGTTGCGCTTCACTTGCATACATGCAGCTCATTTAGTTGACATTTATAAACGTCACATAGCGCGCAATGTTTGACAATTAATTAGGCGCAGATATGCCAGACGATGTCTACAGTTTACACACAGATATTCCCCAGAAATCACTCATTCTGCTCCTCTCCAATTTCGATGGAATCTAAGCTTATTTATTAGTGCCATAATTTCACTTCAATGTCATATCTTGTCACATCACTGAGTAATTAAATCTGCAGTAGTTTTGGAGAATTTATGGAGTATATTTGCGACTTTTTATTTAGTTTCTTCTCTTGACACCATGAGATACTCCCATAATTTTCCCTTAAGATATACTGGTTTAGTTTTGCTCTTAAAATTGCTAAGATCAAGTCAAGATAATTAATGTTAATATTTACTTTTATTATATTGCACTTAATGAGAGTCCAGATATTTCTGTAAGTTTTAGATTGTACTATGCATATTAAAGTCTGTTGTATCCCAAGTTGTTTCTCAAACTCTAAAATCCATAAAAACAAGTACTATTTGGACCTCATATGTTTTCAGCAAATTGGTAGTTTAGTGATAATTCACACTGCCTTTTTTTGCAAAAGTTAAAATATTTGTTTTGAATTTAAGGCAATGGCTATCCATGTTTAACAGTCCAAACTTTTTTATTTCACTTTTGCCTTTCTACATTTACTAATCAATTGAAAGTTTGTTTACATCCAAATGTTTATTAAGATTGATTTTATTCCTTTAAGATTTTCTAGTTTTATGTCTTAATTGGCTCCAAACTATTTGCAGTTACTCTGCCCAAATTTAAACTGAAAACTCCAATACAAAACTACCCCTAGAACTATAGTAATTTTAATCTGCTAATTCAACAATCATTCAATTTCAAATTCCCACTTTAGATACGCCACTCAAATTCAGTTTTTTTTTGTCCTCTAAGGCTTACCATGGAACAGCCAAAAAATGCAAAAAGTTCTGACCGAATCACAGCCATTTTCAAAGTAAACATTTTTCTCCCTCATCCTTTATGTGGGTTTGTTTTTTTTTTTTGTGTATGTGTGTGGGACTATCAAGCAAAAAGCGCCAGGATTTTTATTTATAAAACACTTGAAAAGAAGCAGAGCAGGACGCAGAGCTTCGAGTCCTTTTTTGTTTTGAGCATATTGACGCAAGGATTTCGCCCCAGAAAAAATACAGTGGCAAATGTGCAATGAGCACCGAGCAGAGATCAAACAGTAGAACCACGAGTCAGGCGGTCTTCCTGACGAATCTTGTTGCCAAAGTCCTTTGAGGCTTTTTGGGTTTGAGTCGCTTGAGTGAAAGTTTGTTTTGCCTTTGCAAATGTCACATGAAAAATGCGTTCGCTGTGCGAATGCCAGCACTTTGCATGGGCTAGAGGTAATGGCGTTTGGGGGTGTGGTTGCCAACGCCCTCTAGGAATCATGGTGCTGGTCGCCTTGCACGAAATTTCCATTTAATGTGTTTGCGCAAAGTATTAAAAGGCAACGACGATTGAGTATCGAAAAGAAGTAAAGCAAACCCAGAAAGCATCCAGATAGCCAGAATGTATGGGTGGTGTCGGATACGGGGGGTATGTCCATTTCAAGGGTCCATAACGAGCGCAGGAGCTGCCTGCAGCTTGCACCCAGCAGTCGCCAGAGGGCGCTAGCTGCTGAGTGATTGCCATGATAAGTGGCCCATTATGATGCCAGTTTGCACAGCGAGATTGCGCTGCGCTCCATTGGAGTCCGTCAGTTCTACTCTTCAGTTGTTCAGCTCGTCAGTTCTTCAGTTCGTCAGTTGCTTGGTCTGTTTGCCAATTCTTTTTTAATGCATATCAAAGTGGGCAAAGTTCTGTCCCCAAAAAGTGCGTCATTGTTGTAGAACTGGACTCCACTGTCCCGCTCTCGTTTGACTATTCTCAGTTTTTTTTTTTTTTTTTTTTTTTGTTCCCATCAGCATCTTTAGTGGAACGGCTGTTGACAAAAGACATTTAATTTTCCCTTAGTTTGCTTTGGCCCGCTTCTAGTATCTCTGCCATAAAGTTTGTCCTCCATTCCTCCAATCCTCTTCTTTTTTTTCTTGCCTGATTTTTGGTCTGTGCTAGCGAAAACTTTGATAAGTGAAATTTATTGTGGGCGCTTTGAGTTGTCTACTCTGCATCGGGACATTCTGCAGTAAAATGCTCAACTGATGTTTCTGATGTCGTCTGCCCTTTTACCTCCACTACCCGGGTTTCTTGTCCTCTTAATGTTTTATGACACCCATAGTGCAGTTTTAAACAGCAATCGCGGTTTTGTTGCAGTGATGAATATAACTCAGATTTGTCATTTATCGAAAGCATAATAATAAATCTGTTGACTGGCTTTCTTGAAATATTATAATATGCACATTTTGTACATTTATATTTGAGGGACTCTCAATCTTTAAGCTAAGAAATAAATATTTGATAATGTATAACAGAGTATACTGGTGACATGATTGACTTAAAAGTTATAATTTACATATAAACATATATCTGTGAAAGCTTAAATAATACTCTTTATAGTATGAGTCCCCGTATATGCACCATACAATGTTAATAATTTATTGCAAAATCTAAAACAAATAAAGATTCAAATATCTTATTGATTGATATATACTTAAAACATTTAAATATATATGTATGTATATCGAATTTGACTTCTATTCTTTTAAAGCCATTTCATAATTGTACATTACTATCATTTCTGATAGTGTTCAACAACTAATAAATGTCTTGCCACTCAATCCCCTCATTGATGGCACAACCCCGCCCCAAGCACCTGACACGTCCGTACGTGCGCATTATGCATCGATCATTACTAATGCTATAAAAGAAATCCACTTAATCTCGCAACGAAACATTCAAACATTTATTAAAGACATGACAGACCCTTTTGGGTTGTGGGGTTTTTAGCAGCCCCCGTTCAAGAATTCGAGCCAAAAATGCAACAAAAGGTACAATTTATAGTTCGACACCCTTGGAGTGTAATGCCATACCATCCAGGGGGCGATTTGGGGAGGTCGCACGCACACAGCCCGCCTCGGTCCCAAGGACATTGGTTGGGTGGCAAAATGTAATTGCTGCCGCCCCAAAATTTGGCATAGACCTTGAAAAAAATATTACAACGAATAACATAGAAAGCCCGTCTACTGAATGGGGAAAATGGGGAATGAGGCGTAGGGTGAGGTGAGGTGAGTGATAGAACTTAAAGCTCAAACGCCCGTGCGTATGCAATGAATATTTACGAGCGGGCGCCGTTGGGTCCTCAGAGGATTATTGGGCTTTATGCAATTGCGCGCAAGTAAAAATCTAATTTATCCGCCTGCCACCCTTCGTTTTGTTTGACAATTGCCTAAAATTATGCAGTGCATTGGCATGAGACTCTGTCTGCTGGCACGTACCCGGCCGTACAGGGCAATGCTTTAAGGGAATTTCCTATAAAGCTGGCTGGCTGAAAAAATTGCTTTGCTACTGGCTGCAGCTACCCTTTGTCTGTTAAAGACCAAGCTTAAGTATTTGGGGTGGCTTCAAAACGGTCGGTGGTGGGTGGTGGGTGGTGTGTAGTTGGGTGGTTGCGCTGATGGGTCTCCAGCCTCATCATAACACCACATGTTCTGAAATTGCTGCTGGCGTCGCCACGTCGCCATCTCGTGTACTTCATGTAGATTTCTATCTATTCTATTGTCTGACTTTTACTCGTGGTAGATTTCAACATTCATTTCGTTTGATGAGGCGCAAAGTTGTGGAATTTATTGCTTTGGTTTGGGCCCTGACAAAAAGTTAAGTGGATTTTACGTAAATTAATGAGCCCACTCCTTCCCAGCTTTCAGGGGTTGCAACTGATTATTTAAGTGTTCTAACAAATGCAAATTCAGTCGCAACTTTGGGGTAAGCATGATAAGTTTCGGCATGCATCTGATGCGTAACTCAAGGTATAGATATTTTCAGAATAAATAAGTGCGTAGTTGTTTTTAAAGAATCTGTGTTCTTATATATGCACACACAAGATTATACGAAATCCATTATTCAGCTCAAATGTTATTTGAGTTCAATTTACAAATAAAACCATTTTAAAGCTCTTTTTGTGATATATCTTTTATTTTGCAACACATTTTATTTTTATGTTTTATTTGAAATGGTATAAAAACCCAAAATGTATTACTTATCATGTTTTGCATCCATCACGATAGCATTATCTAATCTCTTCTCTTCGGCAAAGTATTCAGCTATGAAAATGCCTTTTGAATAAATGCACGCAATGCATTTGAATCTGAAAGTTCACAATCTAAAGTCATGTACGAGAGCGAATGTCTTAAATCCTTGGCCACAATGCCCATGATGCGGATGCGTTGCTCGGGTGAATTGGATGGCTCCTGGCTTCCACTGAAGCAGGATTGGAGCACTCGCTGGTGCACACTGCCAGAATTGTACAAGCAGATGTGCGCGAAACGAATCCATAACTTTGAGACTCGTGAGAGCGATGTGTTTGTGGTGACATTTATGAAGAGCGGCACCACTTGGATGCAGGAGCTGGCCTGGTTGCTACTCAATCAGCTGGACTTTGAACGTGCCAAGAGCTGCTATTTGCCGAAACGTAGTCGTTTTATAGAGTGAGACAACAAAATAGAAGACAAATGTTTTTTTTTTTCAATTAAAAAATCATACTTTGCACATATATTTTAGGAATCTAGCTATGAAAACGCCATTTATAGATACAGTAGCTGCCTGTGAGAAGATGATCAGTCCACGTCTTATCAAATCCCACTTGCCAGCTCAACTGCTGCCTCGTGAGATTTGGCAAGAAGGTCGTAAAATAATTTATATAGCCCGAAATCCCAAAGATGTTGTTGTATCTAGCTATCATTTTTTGAATGGCACTACACTCTGGAAGGGGGATTTGGATACATATGTCGATGAGTTTGTGAATGATCAGATTGCATACACCTCCTACTGGTCACATATCATCGACTTTTGGCGAATGCGCAATGAACCCAACATTTTCTTTGTCACCTATGAGGAAATGAGACGAGATCTAAAAGATGTAATTGAGAGATTGTGCAAGTTTTTGGCAGCACCAAGCATTAAAGAAGAGGAAATGAATCAACTGCTACATCATTTGTCTTTTGAGAGCATGAAAGGTTGTTAACTGCTCTAGTATCTAAAATCTTCATATAATATCTACATTCATATTTTCAGAAAGCAATTATAATAACCTGACAGGACGATTAAAGCAAAAGTTAACTACGACTGAAGATTTTGAGTTAGTTTTTAATATAATCTTCAATTATGCTTTTATAAACTCTACTCTCGTTTTCTAGATTTATGCGACGTGGTATTGTGGGTTCTTATAAGGATGAGCTAAATATAGTGCATAAAGAAAAATTGGATAAATGGACAAACGAGTTTTTGAAGGAGCATGGTCTGATTGAGTCCGACATATTTGGTGAAATATAGCATTACTTAGTAGGAATGGAGTGCATTTATTTCTTCATCCAATTATTAAATATATATATATATAAAAATATATTAAATAAAATATCTCACCTACTATGTTTGTTATGAATTCAAGGAAACTTCTCTGACTCTTACATAAAGTAATTATTTTCTTGATCAGCATCGCTAGCAGAGTCGATATGTAATAACCAGAAAGAATTAGACCACTATATCATTAAGCTGTCGAAATATAAAATGAGCTGTAAACTGTGGGATTGGCGATTGCCACCTTTTTTGATACAATGTGACTATCGAAATGTCGTATGTTGTGAAGCAAGAAACATATAAATCAAATTCTGCTTAAAACATATAAAACCATATAGAATCTCCTAATCCGGTTTTTAATACTATGTCACCTTCTGCGACAGTAAAAAGCCGCTACTTTTTTTAACGATTTAATTTTGTGTCTTAAATCCGAAACGTATAAGTTCAAATAAATGGCGTATAAGCTATAACCATTTCTCTTAACCTCAGTTAAGGTGCTCAGTCAGTATTATTTATGATGGTTGGCAGTGAGATGTTATTCGGTATACAAATACAATACAATTTATACCAAAATAAAAATTATCATTTAATAGATAACACGCTTATGAGAAATTACACAATCCTACGGTCAATAAACTTTTTACTCATGATATTTCTGATAGAATTCTTGACAAATACTCTTTCTTACGGATCAGTTTCTGTTAAGAAATCTTAAACTTACAAATCGTAACCTCCTTTTCTCCTTTCAGTATGAAATCAACTTCTTGGAATCGAGCAATGTGATAGTGTTATTAAAAACCTCATCCGTGGCAGCGCTCACTGCACCGCCTTCTGGATGTTGCTGTGGATTTTTCTCTGCATCCTCTCTTCATACCTGGATATTGAACGTATATGAGGTGTTTGCTGCATACTGTTTGCTATATTAAAATGGATTCAATGCACTTGTGTATGCGATACGCCTTGCTAAAAGCCATTATTCTTTGTTTTACACTTGAATCTTATCAGCATATAATGTTTATGATTTATTCTAAATGTAATAAACAACTTACAAATACTTATTATGCGTTGCATCAATTTAATTTCTATAATCTAATCTGCTTCTCTCAACAGATTACTTGACTGTCGAAATACATTTTTAGCAGATACACTCAATGCAGTTGACTCTGAAAGTTCGTTACATTAAGCCATGTACTTAAATCGTTGGCCACAATGGCCATGATGCGGATGCGCTGTACGGGTGAATTGGACGGCTCCTGGCTGCCACTGAAGCAGGATTGGAGCACTCGCTGTTGCTCTTTGCCGAACTTTAATAAGGAATAGTAGGCGGGCCAATCTATAATTTTGGGACACAGGACACCAATGTGTTTGCAGTGACTTGAAGTTTGGCATCATAGGGATGTAGGTTGCTTGCTACTCAATCAGCTCGATTTTCAGCGTGCAAAGAGCAGCAATTTTTCGGAACTTAGTTCATTGTGTATATGTGAAATTGATTTAAATTTTATCAATATCTTTAAACCTTTACTTTAGAAGTCTTCCGAAATGTATCGATAATCGAGAAACGGTGGCAGTTACCGTTAAAATAAAGCTAACTTCGCAGATCAAGTTATATACGAGTACCGATATGCCAAATTTGAAATTTTTAGATCTTGTAGTCTCTGAGATCCACGAGTTCATACAGACAGACGGACGGTCGGACGGACAGACGGACGGACAGACGGATAGGATATCCACTAGGTTATTGACCCTGATCAGGAATATATTTACTTTATGGGGTCGGAGATGCTTCCTTATGCCTGTTATATTCAAGCCATGTCCATCTGTTATATTTGAGTTGCATCCATTTCGACTAATTTTAACTACATACGCGGTATAAGCGATTAATTGTGTGACATTAAAAAGTTATAAAAATTGGCAAATGGAAGTAATTATTCACAGATACTAAACAATTTTGACTTGTATAGAAAGTAATTTTAGTTCATGGTTGCAAAGATAAATTCCATAAAATTATGTATTTTCCAGCTTAATTTGAAAAACTTAATCTCCGATAAATAATTTTATCTTTTTAATATATTTACCATTGAATGTTTGAATTTAATTTAATTGGATATCATCTACCTCTTGTCTGCCAACAATTCAGATAAGAATCTGATAGCATATGTGTGAAATATTATAAAAATAAAAGAATAGTTTATCTTATCGTGTTTTATGTCTCTAAATTTATCAAAATCTAATATTCTTATCTGTTTAATGTCTATAAAGTTAATACACTCTAATCTTTTCTTCGCCACAAATTAGATTACCAGTCGAAATTTGTTAAGCGACTACATTAATCGTTGTTAAATATTCGTCAAATAAAGTCATGTACGAGAGTGAAAGTCTTAAAACGTTGGCCACAAAGCCCATGATGCGGATGCGTTGCACGGGTGAATTGGATGGCTCCTGGCTTCCACTGAAGCAGGATTGGAGCACTCGCTGGTGCACACTGCCTGAAATGTACAAGGAGCTGTGCGCGCAGCGAATCCATAACTTTGAGACTCGTGAAAGCGATGTGTTTGTGGTGACATTTATGAAGAGCGGCACCACTTGGATGCAGGAGCTGGCCTGGTTGCTACTCAATCAACTAGATTTCAACAGTGCCAAAGGCAGCTTTTTATTTGACCGTAGTCAATATATAGAGCGACTAATGAACCACCCATCGGGTATAGATACAATAACTGCCTGTGAGAAGATGATCAGTCCACGTCTTATCAAATCCCACTTGCCAGCTCAACTGCTGCCTCGTGAAATTTGGCAAGAAGGTCGTAAAATAATTTATATAGCCCGAAATCCCAAAGATGTTGTTGTATCTAGTTATCATTTCTTGAATGCCATTACACTCTGGAAGGGTGACTTGGATACATTTGTCGATGAGTTTGTGAATGATCAGATTTGTTACACATCCTACTGGTCACATGTCATCGACTTTTGGCGAATGCGCAATGAACCCAACATTTTCTTTGCGACCTACGAAGAGATGAAACGGGACCTAAGAAATGTTATTGAGAGATTGTGCAAGTTTTTGGCAGTACCAAATGTCGAAGAAGAGATTATGAATCAACTTCTGCATCACTTGTCTTTTGATACCATGAAAGGTTGTTTTAGAGAAATTCTCTACGATCTAAAATATACACATAATAACCACAATTCAAATTTCAGGAAGTGAACATAATAATCCGACTCGTCGACTAAAGCAAGGTCAGAAGACGACTGAAGATTTTGAGTTAGTTTTCGATACAATATTCAATTATATTTTAGTAAACTCTTCACTCCTTTTCTAGATTTATGCGACGTGGTATTGTTGGTTCCTATAAAGATGAGCTAAGTGCAGTGGCTAAGGAAAAAATGGATAAATGGACAAAAGATTCTTTGAAGGATTATGGTATCACTGAGTCCGATATATTTGGTGAAATATAGTCTGCTGTAGAAAAGGGGTTGTTTTATTACTTTTTCCTGATCACTCTTGTATTTTGTTTAATTTACAGCGTATAAGGATTATATTAAAAATATGGATGTAAAATGTAAATATTAATTTAAAAAAAAAAACAACAAATTAATATTTTTCAGAAGAAATGTAATGTAATGCTTTAACTAGCAACCTCAGTTCTTATACATAGATATTATATATATAAAAAAAAGGGAAATCTAATATTATTTCATATTATCTTAGATTTTTCAAAAATGAATTTATTCTGTATAATAATCTGTAAAAATCAATAATAATATTAAATACCATATTATATTATTACATTTATTTGCTGTGCAGTATAGAAAATTAAAAAAATGCAGTTTTGTTAGTAATAATATTAAAAGGATATGTAAAAAGTCTGAGGCCGCTCACTTATTAATAAAAAATATAATATATTTCATAAATAAAATTAATGATTTTTGTTTTATCAATATTGTATATCTTATGACTTGTAGTTTGTAGTTTGAATTGTACTTTGTCCATTAAACTATGTTTTTGATTTACTTTAAAGTCTGCAAAAAGAAAAAACATATTTTTTCAATCCCAATCTGTACAATCTTTTTTTATATTTTTAATATTTTCACTTTTTACTGTCCATTTTTATATAATATGATATCAAAGTCTTATTTTCGATCGGTTTAATCTTCTGTTTTAAGTCCGCTCCGCAACATATTCAACTGCTTACAAACTTTCACAATGTATAAGATCATATAAATGGCGTATAAGACTTAAACATTGCTCTTAGACTCAGTTAACCTTGTCAGTCTTGGTTAAAACGTGAGATATTATTGAGGCATAAGAAAATCATTTTATTGCTTATGTTAAGTTTAACAGCTGAAAAATATGTGTAAAATATTATAAAAATAAAAGAATAGTTTATCTCATCATGTTTTATGTAAATAAATTTGTGAAAATCTAATCTTCTTAAACGTATTTCTTATCTGTTTAATGTCTATAAAGTTAATACAATCTAATCTTTTCTTCGCCTCAAATTAGTTTACCAGCCGAAATTTGTTAAGCGACTACATTAATCGTTGTTAAATATTCGTCAAATAAAGTCATGTACGAGAGTGAAAGTCTTAAAACGTTGGCCACAAAGCCCATGATGCGGATGCGTTGCACGGGTGAATTGGATGGCTCCTGGCTTCCACTGAAGCAGGATTGGAGCACTCGCTGGTGCTCACTGCAAGAATCCTACAAGGAGGTGTGCGCGCAGCGAATCCATAACTTTGAGACTCGTGAGAGCGATGTGTTTGTAGTGACCTTTATGAAAAGCGGCACAACTTGGATGCAGGAGCTGGCCTGGTTGCTACTCAACCAACTGGATTTCAACAGTGCTAAAGGCAGCTTTTTATATTACCGTAGTCAATTTATAGAGTGAGAAAGTCAATAATTAGAGGTTAATGTATTATGAAAAACGAATTAGTATCTTTTAGATTTCTAATGAACGACCCATCGGGTATAGATACAATAACTGCCTGTGAGAAGATGATCAGTCCACGTCTTATCAAATCCCACTTGCCAGCTCAACTGCTGCCTCGTGAAATTTGGCAAGAAGGTCGTAAAATAATTTATTTAGCCCGAAATCCCAAAGATGTTGTTGTATCTAGTTATCATTTCTTGAATGCCATTACACTCTGGAAGGGTGACTTGGATACATTTGTCGATGAGTTTGTGAATGATCAGATTTGTTACACATCCTACTGGTCACATGTCATCGACTTTTGGCGAATGCGCAATGAACCCAACATTTTCTTTGCGACCTACGAAGAGATGAAACGGGACCTAAGAAATGTTATTGAGAGATTGTGCAAGTTTTTGGCAGTACCAAATGTCGAAGAAGAGATTATGAATCAACTTCTGCATCACTTGTCTTTTGATACCATGAAAGGTTGTTTTAGAGAAATTCTCTACGATCTAAAATATACACATAATAACCACAATTCAAATTTCAGGAAGTGAACATAATAATCCGACTCGTCGAATAAAGCAAGGTCTGAAGACGACTGAAGATTTTGAGTTAGTTTTCGATACAATATTCAATCATATTTTAGTAAACGCTTCACTCCTTTTCTAGATTTATGCGACGTGGTATTGTTGGTTCCTATAAAGATGAGCTAAGTGCAGTGGCTAAGGAAAAAATGGATAAATGGACAAAAGATTCTTTGAAGGATTATGGTATCACTGAGTCCGATATATTTGGTGAAATATAGTCTGCTGTAGAAAAGGGGTTGTTTTATTACTTTTTCCTGATCACTCTTGTATTTTGTTTAATTTACAGCGTATAAGGATTATATTAAAAATATGGATGTAAAATGTAAATATTAATTTAAAAAAAAAAACAACAAATTAATATTTTTCAGAAGAAATGTAATGTAATGCTTTAACTAGCAACCTCAGTTCTTATACATAGATATTATATATATAAAAAAAAGGGAAATCTAATATTATTTCATATTATCTTAGATTTTTCAAAAATGAATTTATTCTGTATAATAATCTGTAAAAATCAATAATAATATTAAATACCATATTATATTATTACATTTATTTGCTGTGCAGTATAGAAAATTCAAAAAATGCAGTTTTGTTATTAATAATATTAAAAGGATATGTACAAAGTCTGAGGCCGCTTACTTATTAATAAAGTATATAATATATATCATAAATAAAATTAATGATTTTTGTTTTATCAATATTGTATATCTTATGACTTGTAGTTTGTAGTTTAAATTGTATTTTGTCCATTAAACTTTGTATTTGATTTACTTTAAAGTCTGCAAAGAGAAAAAACATATTTTTTCAATCCCAATCTGTACAATCTTTTTTTATATTTTTAATATTTTCACTTTTTACTGTCCATTTTTATATAATATGATATCAAAGTCTTATTTTCGATCGGTTTAATCTTCTGTTTTAAATCCGCTCCGCAACATATTCAACTGCTTACAAACTTTCACAATGTATAAGATCAAATAAATGGCGTATAAGACTTAAGCTTTGCTCTTAGACTCAGTTAACCTGCTCAGTCTTGGTTAAAACGTGAGCGGCCTAAGCCGCCAAAATCTTGATGTGTGCTTTACGATGTTGGGCCGTGAGATATTATTGAGGCATAAGAAAATCATTTTATTGCTAATGATACTCATTGCAATTTGCAATGTAGTCATTTACCTCTACGTTACGGAATCGAACAAACACGCGACAATAACAAACGGAGTGACTAAATCGACAACCAAAGATGCAACAGCAGAGCATGAGATCAGTCAGCTGGCTGGCAAGCGAGAGAATCTGGTAATGGGCGAACTGGGCGCACTGGGCAGACCGGCGAAGAGCAATTGGAGCGATGCTCAGCTCTTGGCCATGGAGCGCAGCCAGCTCAAAACGGGTTATAATGCTTGGCTCTCAGAGCGCATTTCACCAGAGCGCACGCTCTTCGACATGCGGCATCGGAGGTGAGTAACAGCTGTATAAGAGTTGGCATATATGAGATAACTGTTAAGTTTAACAGCTGCAAAAAGCTTAAGTATCCGCTGCAAAAGCTGCCGGCTATCAGTGTCGTTATCACCCATCACAATGAACAGCCGAGCGTACTGTTGAGAACGCTGAGCAGTCTGAGGAGCAGAACGACAGCCAGATTACTGCATGAGATCATATTGGTGGATGATGGCAGCGATCTTGGATTGCTTGGCAATTTCACTGGCTATGTAGAGGAGAAGTTCAAGGGTCTGGTACATCTTCAGCGCCAGGAGAAGCAGCTGGGAGTGATGCAGGCACGCCTGGCGGGTGCACTGAGGGCTCAGGCAGATGTCCTTGTCTTTCTGGATGCACATGTAGAGGTCACTCATGGTTGGCTGCCGCCTCTACTCCTTCCACTATTGGAGAACAACAAGACCTGCACCACGCCCGTGGTGGACACCATAGACTACGACAACTTTGCGTACCGACGTGGGAAGCCAACGCGTGGCTTCTTTGACTGGGACTTTAACTATGTGCAGCTGCCGCTGCGCAAAGAGGATGAGCTGGCTTTGCCGGCACCTCATGAGAATCCCATCATGAATGGCGGCCTCTTTGCCATTTATCGCAAGTGGTTCTTTGACCTGGGTGGCTATGATGAAGGTCTGCGCATTTGGGGCGCCGAACAGTTCGAGCTGAGTCTCAAGATTTGGTTGTGCGGTGGACGACTGTTGGAAGTACCCTGCTCCAGAGTGGGACACCTGTACAGGAATGGCAGCTTCAAAATGCAGTACACAAAATCTGATAGCAAGGCTTTAGCTAGGGTGAGATCGATTAAATGAAAACCTTGTCCAACAACTCTAATAATTATTTTCTGCAGAATTACAGGCGAGTGGCTGAGGTCTGGCTGGATGAGTACAGGGACAAGTTGTATGCGAATCTGCCGCACTTGACCCACATCAAGGTGGGTTCGCTGAAAAAGCAAAAGGCATTGCGTCAACGTTTGCAGTGCAAACCATTTAAATGGTTTTTGGATCACCTGGCCAGCGATTTCCTCGAGCTGTATCCTGTGGATGAGCCAGAGGATTATGCCTTTGGCGTTGTGCAGAACTTGGCCGAGCCCACGATCTGCTTGGAGAGGTCGGAGAGTGCCGAACATCCGCAACTCATGCCTTGCGATGGGGACCTCATGTATCCAAAGCTGGAGCAAAAGTGGTCCTTGAGCCATTTTCGAGATCTACACTCGAGTTTCCATTGCTTAGAGTTGCAACAGAGACAGCCCAATGCTGAGATTTGGCTCTGGCAATGCCATCATCATGCTGGCAATCAATTTTGGTCCTACGACCCCAATACCAATCAAATTGTCAATGGCCAGAGCAAGGATCAGCAACGTTGCCTGGAAGCTCGATTGGAACAGCGCAAAGTAGTCGCGAATCCTTGTGATGTCCAGAATTTGCAGCAGCAATGGAAGTTTGGATATGTTAATGAAAAGCTACTCGAAAATTTTTGGAAGAATGTACCCAGCTAATTCTGGAACTAAGATAAAATATCAAATGAAAGCTAGCAATCCTGAGTACAAAACTTTCAGATCCAAATTTACTATAACAAAAGAAGATACTCGTAAAATATATAATTTGAACTGATTTCTATCTATCTTTTATTATTATCTAATTTTATTTGTGGATATTTTGAGGAATTTTCATTTCCTTCATATCCATCGGGGCAATCCAAAAATGTTCACCGGATGTGTTTGAATATAAAGATTGTATATATATGGCATATATTCGAGCTTTGAGTAAATGACGTGCACTGAAATTGCATTTTGATTACGAATATGATATTTATGTAGATTCTGTTGTCAATAAAAAAATCACATTCTCCGCATGGTAGTAGAATCGATCATACGATTTTGTGATAGATTTTGTGGCTCTGAAATCATTCATTCAGTGGTTTGCCAAAGTGATCAATTGTTTCGAATGGCAAAAATCGATGATAACCCAAATGATCTCGACTATCGCCAACCAGAACATTGACATTGCTCAGATAACGACCCAGCATACCCCAGCTGGCCGGAGCTGCAAATGGTATCATTGGGCATGGCCAGCAGCACAAAGGGCTGGACAGTGGCGCTGTTGAAGGTAATGCCCGATATATATAAGTATAAATGAGTATAAATAAGTTAAATGAGTTTGGATTAAAGTTAGGGTAAGCACCTGGTTATCGGTAGATATATATAGCTGGCAGCCAAAGTAGATGAGTTCTTTGGGAGTATAGGCTTGCTATATGTAGCATATAGCGCAGATTTTCCACCACAACAAAAAAATGGAGAGTTGGAAAATGTTACTGATTGAAAAGGTGACAGAACTTTTTATCATCGTCGGCAAAGAAAAACCAATCGCCAACGACAAAGTGATACTTGCACACGTACTCAAGCTGTGCACGCATCTGCATCCACCAGGCAGAGCAGTCGGAGCAGCACCAGCTTATGGAGAAAGGTGCAGATTTTGATATGGCAGCTGCTGCATGGATTCAAAATGCTAATTTTTATTTTTGCTGTTCAGAAAGAAGCGTCGCGTGCTGAACAATCGACGCATTTTAAAAAACTAACACTTAAATCTCAGCATCATTGACGATGGGCTTGTGGTCTGTGCCAGGGCTACAATTTAATTATATTGAGTGCTTTTGTCTGTCGAAGTCTATCCCGGCTGCCACCGCTTCCCCTCGCTTCTCTCGATTGGCTCGCCGCACACAAATTGCCTTTTTCAATTAGAAATATTAGCTCACCTCTCTGGGTGGTAACTCAACGATGCCTTCGCGTGGTACTCCACCTGAAGTTGAAGTTGAAGTTGAAGCTGTTGCAATTTGAAGTCGAGAATTGAGGAGTGCAGTTTAATATGAATACGGGGAGTTCTAAACAGCCAATGGCGAAACAGTAGCGCATTTCAGGGTGTGTACTTAAAGTGTAAGTTTGATATGTGCGGAGTTCTCAACTCTTGTATTTGTGAGAGTGGAGGTGATGAAGTCACAGCCATTAAATAAGCAACGATGTGGTTTAAGCTTTGAGATGGAAGTGTATACAAAGTAATCTCGAAACTTAAACGAATACATTTAGTTGCACTTAAAGCAACTACTTGCTAATTCTAAAAATAAAATATTTGAACGCGCATTTTAATTGCATTTTTGTTTAGTTTTTCTCATGTGTGGTTTAGCAATCAGTCAATTGCTACAGCCAAAAACCAAAAACAGCTAAAAACAACACATTGTCAGATTTGCATACATATCTATACAAATTGAACAAAAAACAACAAATATCTGCCATAAGAGATAAACATGTCAGCTATTGTTGTTGACTAAAAAAGGTGTTTTGCATAAACAAAAACACTTATATAATATCGTGTGAGCTCACGTGAAACTGTCAAAAAAAAGAGAAGAAAAGATTAAAACAAGTAAAGGTAAACGATATTTGTGCATATGGGGCATTAATGTCTCAGTTTACGTGCTCAAATTACCAGATGAGTTGTCATTGTTGGCTAACAGGTTGGCATTAAACAAAAGGCCCACACAGACATGGGTAAAGTGAGGCAGGAGACAGGAGACAGGAAGCAGCAGCAGAAAAAAGCGCAATATTGCATTCAATTTGCCTTTCGCCCTTTTGTCAGGGGATTCCAATAGCAATGTCGAATGCGGAGTCCTGAAGCAACTGCCAGACATGCTGCAACAATGACATTTTGCAGTTGCAACAAAACGGAAGTAATTTTGCACAGACAAAAGGCCTGGGAAAACTGAGAGCTGCGGCAACAGAGGGGCAGGCAGACATACTTTCCATTGATGAACACGTATCTCAATGTGGGCTGAAGTTGGCTGAGATTGTGGACCCGTATGTGGCATGAATTATGTGAGACACTGTTCGGCTAAGTAGATAGATGATAGATGATATGTGGGTTACACGGAAGTAAGCGTAAGCGTAAATGTAAACGTAACCCAAGGTGCTGCCCCTCTGCACGTAATTGAAACATCTGAAACACGGAAACACTTTGGCAGCTGCGACAGTTTTGTGGTGTCTATATTACGTAAGGCAACATGGAATTTTGCACAGGTTTGCCGAGAATATGCACTTGATGACTGAAATAATATAGATCATACATTTTAAGGGGAAAGTTATAATTATACAATAATAATACAATATATAATTAAAAAATATATTATCCAATTTTAAATTTGCTTTCTTCTTACTTATATATTAATTAAACATTAATATTTCACATAATATTTACTAAAAATATTGGTTTATATCTACTTTTTAAAAATATCTCTTATTATTAAGAAATATAATCTATTCTAGAGACGAATAGAAAAATCTCTTCGAAAACAGACTACCAGGAGTACAACTCAAAACACCCTTCAGTATATACTTGCCCCCAGAGAGGTGAATGGATCCACGGTAACCACGGCTAAAGTACTTGTTATAAAAGAAGCATTAAATTGCCTAAAACGGCTCAAAGTCAGCCCAGGCAATGTCAACATAGATATTGATAGTCAAGCAGCAATCAAATCTATTAGTGCGATATCGTCGCATTCGATATTGGTAACAAGCTGTCTCAAATCTCTGCACGAGATGGCTGAGCAGCATGTTATCAGCCTGATATGGGTGCCTCGTCACCAGGACATTGAAGGTTGAAGGATGAGCTAGCTAGGAAAGGAAATCTTTTACCCCTTCTCACGGATAAGGAAGGTATATGCTTGCCTCTAGCTACCTGCAAGCTCAATATCAAGGAAGAAAGTAGACGCAGGTCGAATGATATATGCCGAAAAGCAAACTGCGGTCGCATAGCACACTTGGCCCAATATTGATACAAAACATAGCAGGACGATTGTAATTAAAGACGATTTCAGTTCGTAACCAAATCAGTTCAATTGCTGAATCATTTTCAAGTATATATCGCAAATTTTCCACTAGAAACAAAACTTTATATACAATGAAGAAGATGTTATGCTCAATAAATTCATAATATTTATTAAAGTGTAAATATAATGAACCATTTAATAAATAATTATGCTTGACTAATTTACCAGCTAATAATAAGTAATGAAAGTCATTGAAGTATCGAGTTTAATGATTTTATCATATAAAACAGCTCAGATTGGCTTTATTACATTTTCTGGTTATTTTTGGCAATTTGTTCCGCCAGAACGGACAGTCAAAAATGTTGTTCTGCAAATCAAAAGAACAAACTCTCCATGTATATTCAATCCGCAAAATTAGACACATTATTAAGGCAAACGCTGATCTGTTGTGCATACAAGAAAACCAGAGACACGAAAATTTTGAATACACGCATGGCGATGTACAAACAATTTGTATTTGAAAAAACCGTGTCAATAAGATTCGTCAAGTAAAGATCCGAAGATCCGTTTCTCAATGAATGGCGACCCAAAGCAAACAATGCCAAGTTCAAGCCGCAAATGTGCGCAGTAAACAAACTAAAAAATAAATAAATAAAAATAAAAATCAAATAATCCAAAAATGGAAAAACAAAAAAGCCAAAACTCAACACGCTTACACATAAACAAATTCTTTACATACAGGTCAGTCTTAAGGGAGTATGTGTGTGTGTGTGTGTGTGTGTGTGTGTGTGTATGTGATATTGTTGATTTATTTGCCAAACAAACGACCAAAATAATTGTAGATAATGACGATAAGGTGAGGTGCTATACGCCTGATGTTAGTTGGATGGTTTTTTCTGCCATGAGCAAAATAAAACCGGTTCGCTGAAGGTTTAAGTGTTTGGGGGTATTTGCTCTTCTCTAATTAAATTTGCAAAACGATGTCTGCCTGCTGTCTGTGCCCGGTTCAAGCTCAAGACTAAACGCTTTAGTTTTGGTTATCAAAAATGTACAAAAAAAACTGAAAACATTTTAATTACATGTCGATAAGCAGCAAAGTGGTGGAGATGTTGTCTCATTTCGAGGCCCATTAAAGTCGACTTAAATGCATCGATATTTCATATTGAGTCTCTCCTCCTCGCAATCGATGGTGTTGACGTCATTTGTAATAAATTTTCAATTATATATGTCGTCATAAATTAAATCAAACTTCCCTTGACATCTCACTAAGACTTAATTCACCCATTAACACCAAGTTGTCTTTCACAGAAATAAACAAAATCCAAAACAAAAATAATACCGATAAGCGTTGATTTTGTATATTCAAATTTTAATGCTCAATTTGAAGTGCGCAATTCACAAAAAAAAAAAAACATGAAAACATTATCAAATTTTGATAAGCTGATTTGGGAATATAATAAGTATTATTTTATATTACGTTCACTTTGCAAAAAAAAAATATGAATTTTGTTTGTAATCTATTTAATGAATTACTTTATGAAAATATTCAGTGTTAAAACCATGATTAACCATTAAGTATATGCGCATAGTTATTAATATGAATACTGGGGGAAAGGCTTTAGCATCATTAGAAATCATTTTGCATTTAATCCAATGTGAGTGGTTTAATGTGACTGATTAAAATATCTAGACATAGTTATTATTGCATAAATTGGGTAATGATCTTAAGCATCATTAGAATTAATATTCCAACTTATGCAATTCTTGGCCAGTTTTTTACTTTTTCCAAACAGCATAA